TGTTCGAGATACAGAGGTCAAATTTAATTTTTCGAGTTATAGAGTGAAAATATGTACCAAAATGGCTTGGAGGGACTCGGTGATTATTTCGATTAACAGAGGGTCAAGATTTCAAGTAATGGAGGTTTTGGTGTTTTAAGGGAAGGGAACAAAACATTTTTTCGAGATTTGGAGGTTTTTGACTTATCGAGGTTCGACTTAACGAGGTTCTATACAGAAGATTCAAGGGTCTATTATATAAAGGTCGGGCCTACCAACTGACTAAATAACAATTATATTTACAATTTTTTCCTAGCTTTAGTTTTCGCAAAAGTATCAATGACTTCGTTTAAATCCAGGCTTGATGCGGTTTTGTTTTCAATTGCTATCTAATTCGCGTTATACTGGGTGCCGCACAAGTACTGGCACTAAAGAAAATTTGTTTATTTTTTTTATATGACAGTTCCTGTCATTCTGTTGTTGAAAGTTGTGTAGTGAAAAAATGTAAAATACACTGAAAATAAACATGGACCGTTTTACTTCCCAAAAACGTGGATTAATCGTGTCAATGTTCTTACGGAATAATTCATCAGTGACAAAAACACAACGTGAATTTCGTCGACGATTTCCCCACCGTCCGGCACCGATTGGTCGCACAATCCAACGCTTTGCCACACGCCTTGAAGCAACTGGCTCAACATTGGATAGACCTAAGTCTGGGAGACCAAGAACAGGACGTTCAGCTGAAAATATCGATGCTGTGCGCGAAGATGTGGAAGAGTGTCCAGAAACAACAACGAGGCGACGTGCCACGCAATTGAGCATTTCCAGACGGACCCTGCAGCGTATTTTGGTGAAAGACTTAAAGATTTTCCGAAAGAACATTGACACGATTATTCCATGTTCTTGGGGATTAAAACGGTCCATGTTTTTTTTTCAGTGTATTTTACATTTGTTCACAACACAATTTTCAACAACAGAATGAAATGAAATGTCATATAAAAAAAATAAACAAATTTTCTTTAGTGCCAGTACTTTTGCGCCACCCAGTACAATGAGCTGTAGCCGAAATCTTTAGATTTGACACGATTTATTGACTTTACCGGACATCAATATGAGTGGTAAAATCAAATAAAATTGAATCACTATATTGACCAGTACAAAAAAGTTTATTGACATTAGCTTACTTACTCCTGATACAGCATGAATTTTTTAACCGTTCTCAAAAAAAAATCTTTACTCGAATTCACAATAAAATGCACATCGATGAATAATAAAATGCACATATCACTATCCGTCTAATTGTCAACAATGCCAACCTACAGAAAGAATTTAGGGGAATTCTCTAGGCATAACTTTTGAATTTCTCTCAAATTAATGTCTTGATTAAAGTGGGGTTGTAACCTGTCATATTTATTTTGAAAATGGGAGAAATTTCCAAAAGTTCAGAACGATCGAGATTTCTGGTGAGGATTCGAGGGCCCACCTGAGCTTGAGGGCCCCGGGGCACTGCCCCGCCTAGCCCCTGGTAGCTACGCCACTGGCTTCACGACTGATTTGAGAGCGACCGCCGATGCGAAAACCGCTGTGTGAGTTCGAAAAGTGAGTTACAGAATCGCAGGGCTGCCCTTCACGCGATTGACCACCTCGCGGCTTTTATTTCACCAAATTTTGGAATAAATTATCTATTTTTATTGTAGTTATGGTTCACTATTTTGGCTCTAATGACTTACACATAACATATAGATATATACTGTGGAGGGCTTTTTGTAGGACTATTTAAGATTAACATTTCCATCATTATGTGTTATTCTGATGTTTAAGCTATATTATTGTATAGTTTCATTAAAATTCATTCAGTAGTTTTTACGTGAAAGAGTAACAAACATCCATCTATACTTACAAACTTTCGCGTTTATAATATTAGTAGGATAAGTAATTTCTCTCAACTGTATGTAAGACACGTGGATTAATTTTGAAATAAAACAGGAAATGTCCGCCCATGCACGTGATTCGAACCTCACCTCTGTGTGTCGCACACTCAAGCCACTAGTTTATAAAAATGATTCTAGGTCAAACGCAATTAAATTCCCACTTCACATTTTCGAGTGCGCTTCACGTCAATCGTAAAGGTTACGTACATTCGAAAAAATGTTCAAAGATTACGCGAAACTTGTATTGTGGTAACTCCAGAATACAAGTTTTTCCGCACTTGGACGCTCATTACGGACCGGTTAGCGTAACAATACGCAAAACTTATTCAGTATCACAATTAAACTGCAATAAATTTTCCAAGTTGGATTTTGTTCTGTTTGGAGTAGAGACTCTTGGGCCGTGGGGTTCAAGGGCAAAGGCGCTAATTAAAGATTTAAGTTGGCGCCTGGTAGTATAGCACCTGTGACCCCAGAGCCGGTGCTTTCCTCAACGAATAAGTAATACAGCGAAAAAAGCCGATTAAAGGTGGCCACAGTCAAACTTTTTGAATTTGTTCTAGTTTTTTTATCTGTTTTTAATTATTGTTTTAACTATGGTATAGTCAAGGTAATCGGGTTGGGTAAGTGTCTACATACCTGGACCAAACTCCAGACGTACTAGAGAAGGGACCAGCTACAAGTACATGGTGAATGTCAAGCTACTGGAGAATCGTGGTCCCTGCCCCTTCGGGAAAAAGGCGTGGCCTGCCCTATGCCCCATTGGAAGTCCAATATCATCATCATATTTATAAGCAATGAATTAAGAAAAATAAGTATGTCAAAAACCATTTCCAAGAATTAAGATATTCTAAAGATAGAAAGATAAACTAAAAGCTATATTGTGTAACTAAGTAATTGATTGAATTAGACAAGGCTGAGGCTTATATAATGGCTGAGTCAGCGCTAACGTGTATTATATTATGTAGCCTTCCTTAATAGATCGGTCAATATATTGAAGATGTATGGTAACAATAATAAAAGTCCATTTAATCTATATATATAAAAATGAAACCCGTTTTCCGTTGTCACGACATAACATGAAAACGGCTTGACCGATTTGTCTTATTTTTTTTTAATAATATACCTTGAAGTACGAGGATGGTTCTTACGGAGAAAAATTAAAAACAATTTAGTGAAAAAGTTTTAAAAACAACACTTTTCTATATTCCCATATAAAATATTTGTAATAATACTTAAAAGTCAATTTGAACTTTAATACCAAAGCATAAAGTTCAAGTGTTAGTGGAGGGCTTCCGGGAAGGTAAATTTTAATTTTTTGACATAATGTATTTGTTTTCTTATCAACTTTCTTTTTTTATCTTACTAGCTAGACTGGTGTATCGAATAGCAGAATAAGTATTTTAAACAAATAAAAATCGACTGTTAGGCGGTACGATGTTCGCCAGGCCAGCTAGTTTCCAATAAAAAAATAATAATAATCAGTGGCGCTACAACCTCTTTGGGCCTCAGATTTCTGAATCTGTTTCATGATCGTTTTTAAATCTAATCAGCAAGTAGGTGATCAGCCTCCAGTGCCTGACACACGTCATCGAATTGTTTGGGTAACTGTTACGGTCGGCAAAATTCCTTAACTTCTAGCTAGAAGTCTTCAAAAAATTTTGCCGATGACTTACCCTCTAATGTTGTACATTCAGCGTAGCAAACTTCAATATTATAGAATAAACAGATAATTCGCTCCCAACCAGTAAACGACCTCTGCGCCCTCAGTTTTGTACGAGTGGAATTAATGAAATTGCAGAAAATGTATTTCCATCTTCCCCCTATCAACCCATTCATATCATTTCTACTACCGGTTTGGGGCTGCGAACTGGATAGTTTGTGTAAAATGTTGTGCTCAAAAATGAGATATTATTTTTCGTGGAATTTCAACGAAATTGTTGGAAAAGGCGGCAAAAACTTCACAGCCTTTACCTTGACAATATGTAAATCCGCCACTGTTTCCAATTATTACAAATAGCTGGCGAGAAAAATATCTACATGATTTGCTTGTGTGGCAGACTTTTTAATGGCGACAATTATACGATAAGGAATATTAAGGACCACGTCTGCCGCCATGGCTGCGTTGTCAATTGACATCCTCTAAAAAAACAGGTACTTACTATTATATTTGCCAGTGTCTGCCTTTAAGGCTGGTGTTTAGGGAGCATTGTAAAATGAAGAAAAAAAACGTGTGTGTACGTATGTACACGCGAAGTCATTCTTCTTTGGCGTAACAAGATAAAAATCTTTTCAAAAATTTTATCTTTCGCCTTATTCTTCGTTTGTAGAAAAAACAGAACTGTCTATGGGCGGGTAGATGAGCAGCACAGTTAATAACATTCATAAACTGCTCGTTTGCTCAGTATCCCACTAAAAGTGTGTCCCATAGTGTCGTAACGCTAATTATTATTTATTTAAATGAAAATTATTATTTGGTCGTTCTCCGCGGTACCTGCGTTACTTCGGTAGTAGCATAATTAATCTATTCATTAAAAAATATATTAAAACTTCTAGATCACTCTTATTACTTGGCGGTAAAAAATCCGACCTACCAAAAATTCGTTAAATTTCCTAACAATCTGTCGAGTTGTTTCGCAGCTTTTGGAGGTTTTTACTTTGCACAGGTGTAATGTGTATGATGGCGTGTCAGTACGGACTAATAAATAAATTAAAAGTCCGTATCAAACAGGATATTTTAAATTAACTAATCTACAGATAATGACTTATTATTTAAACATAACTAACGATTGGAACTAAACTAAATGACAAACAGAAAAGTGATAGTATCTGCGGTAAAACAAAAATAACAGATGCAACATGCCCAACAACTTAAATGGAGATGGGCAGTTTTAAAAAAAAGCCCTTCTCCCGGACGGGGGCCGCATCATAGAATAATAAAATTTTATATTTTTTTCTTACTGGTATATTGTATGTAAATAAGATAAATAAAGGCTTATAATTATTAATATTAAACCTAGAAAATGACACTACATTTCTTGGTTTTGGCCTTAGGTTTCTTAATTATTTTACATAACAAATTCGACTCACCATTAACAAAGCAAATAAAACCTTCATAGTGATAATTAGCACAACACTAAACCTCCTTCGTCAAGTTCTATATTTGTATGTCGATTAAACTTCGCGCGCTTTATTGACATTTGACATTATTTGAAGCTAATTTAAAAAGGTGCGTGTCAAAATGAGTCGCTAAGTAAACTGATAAAAGTTAGAATGTTTGAACCTCTAGCCGATTGGTAATTCAGTGAATGCAACTTGATTTCTAAATTATCGACTTAACTATTATTATATAACCATACATTTGCAACAGTTTGTTTATATATGTAATTGACGTGAAAAACATAATCCGTTCACGTTTGGTAATAGCTTCTTTGAAGAAATTCGCAATAATTTTTCTATGTATGGTATATAGATAATTATCGAGACCTTTATATTTCGAATCATTAAAATCGATTAATAACGCGTAAAATTATCACACTATTAATTTTAATTAATTAAGAGCTTAATTTATTGTCTATTTAAGCCAGGCTATAGATTTAGTTATTAAATAAATCTTTCCCGTCACAAAATTTAAACTAAAAATCAATAAATTTTAGTTTAACACTTGTACTATCTATTTTTTTAGATACAGACGAACAAATATTCTTCATAAATATAATAGCTATTCTTGTAAAATATTTAATATTTTTAAAATATCTAGTGCGTTTTATTTTTGTAACAAATAAAAATTTATTAATACAAAGCATTACCAAAAGCAAACCCTATATAACGACACTCAAGGGACTGTGCCTATTTTGACGTTACAAAGAGTTGCCGTAAAAGTAAACAAAAATCTGTATTAGAAAAAGAAAGTTTATTTCAGACTAGTGTTAGTAATTATGTAAAAATAATTGGTTTTTGAACGCTATTGCGTTGTGAACAAAAGCCAAAAAGTCAAAAATCATTTATTCATGTAGGTATAAGGTAACACAATGCACACTTATGAACGTCAAAAAAAGAAATATACATTAAATGCTTCTAACTTTACATTTACTGCCAGTTCTCAAATCAAGGGCATAGAACGGAAGATAAGAACTGGCAATAAGAACGGTTTTATTTATTTAATTCATATCTTGCGATATTGAGGCATCTTCGTGATAAAGCACATGCAAGCATGCGCAATTTGTAAAAAAAAAGAGCGGATTTCTTGGAATGTTCGGTTCGTATGAAAAGTACCGACAGCCGAGTTTATTTCTTGCTAGGAAATAAAGCGACAAAACAACGTACACAGCCCCGCAGTTTTAACCAATTTTGGCAACTTAAAAATACTTTTTAGTATTTAATTGTTGTCGTTATTGCGGGTAGGTGTAATGCTATGTAGAGTGTATCAATTATCATTGTATGAAATCCGAGTGATTTCGACGCTTTAACCTGTATTAAATCGAGGGCCGTTACATGGAGTTTACACTGTATAAATTCCTTTAAAACTAATGGAAAAAAGGAATTGTAGACTGTATTGTATTTCTTTTTATTTTGTTACTCATACATCATTATATAAAAAATATTTTTCACAATTTAAGGACACTTCTATGACTATATTATCTTGTATATATTTTTGTGACATATTATGTTGTATTTGTGATGTGCCTGTCATATTGATATTGATAAATAAATAACCTATAGTAACTTTACTATACTACAAAACAAAACACTGTGAAATATGAGCGGTGCGCCGTGGTTAACACGAAATACTGAGTTCCATAAATATTTGGGAATTGCCACTGTCGAGGAAGTCATTAAAAGATCAACCGTGCGATACAAAATGAGACTTCAGCAACACGTCAACCCCCTCCCCAGCTTCGGGCCTCTTGGAAACGACGGACAGTGTGTATCGGCTGAAAAGGGCAAAACTTGCCGCAGTCTGACAGTTTACGAATTACGGAGGGAATAAAAAAAATATTGGGTTTGCGTTCCCTAATTGCCATTATTTTTTTATATAATCTGATTAAAGCCACGAGGCTTGCAGATGGATTGAAAATTAAAAAAAAAAACTTTATGGAATTCATCAGTCACTTGTATATTTTTTTCTTTATCAATAAGTTACTAAAGTAATCTATCTCTTTTAGTCATAACGTAAACACAATTTGTCAGAAAGAGACGACGATACTTTAGTTGCTAGTCTTATGAAATTTTACGTTAATTAAAACTTTATTTTATTGAAAATCACACAGTTGTCATAACACAAATACCACAAGTACAGTCAGAAAATACGATGACAGTCGTAGAACCACAATAGTGATTTACTTTGCATAATATAAAACTCACGCTAAAATAGGATGTACAATAATATATCCTCAAACCTAAAACTTCTTCTTACCTTAAGAAGTTTAAATTACAAGATACAGCCCTGCGATTCTGTAACTCACTTTTCGAACTCACACAGCGGTTTTCGCATCGGCGGTCGCTCTCAAATCAGTCGTGAAGCAGTCATTTTATGATTTGGCATTCTAATAAACAATAAACTACAAGCTCCCACCTTTTCAGAATTCAAATCATAAAATGACTGCTTCACGACTGATTTGAGAGCGACCGCCGATGCGAAAACCGCTGTGTGAGTTCGAAAAGTGAGTTACAGAATCGCAGGGCTGGAGAAAGTTTATGTGTGGGGTAGTATCAATCTTGTTAAGTTTAATCCTACAAAGACTCAGGTATGTTCGTTTTCTGCCAAGAAAGATCCTTTTGTCGTGTCTCCTCAATTTGAAAGCGCAGCTTTAATTCTTCCTTTCTTGGCGAATCCTTTAGGATCTCTGAAGTGAGGCTATAGCCTTCACTTCCCGTCCCAATCCATCTCCTTCTCTATCTTGCTTTAAATCTCTATTGTACAAGCATTACCTGTCCACATCGTATCCCTAACTTTCATACCAACTGAAATTATCGTTATACATGTGTTGTCGATGTCCCTTTCACTGTTTACATAATATGTTTTGTTCCCTTAGTTTTGTCTAAGTAATTTTATATCTTATGTAGTGTTGCACTTCTTGCGCTCGCCTTATCTAATTTAATTTTTTTTCTTCACAGCGGTTGGCTGGAAGACATCGCTCGAAAGCGGCTGGCAGTTGCCCTCCTTTTTATTTAATTATTTTAATTCTACTGTATTTATGTATTACTGCATCATAAAATAAGGACAACTAATAGCCTACTAACACGTTTCGGCAGATCTGTGGCCGAGACTGATTATCTGACTAACTACCACTATGTACCAGCTGCCCACTGAAGTATTTCCGAACCAATTCTTAAGACTTAGGGTCCTTCAAAAAAAAGAGCGTACCAATTCTTAAAAGACCGGCAACGCGAGTCTTCTGAGATTGAGAGTGTCCGTGGTAGACCTAACATCAGATGAGCCTCCTGCCCGTACGTATGTCCATAAAAAGGGGCAGGGCTCCCCTCATCTAGAAAGATACTTTATGCAAATTCTTGGATTTACCAAACTGATTACTTTTTTGAAGGCGATTAAAACTTTTGTATTGCGACAGAGCTATTTTGCTGTCAGTTCAAATATGAGGTTAGCGTAATTATGGCGGTTTACGAAATCTTCCTAAAATGTATATTTGTGAATAAAATCATTGAGACGTAATCGTCTAATATGTGTATTAACAAATAAATTCAAGGTTTTAGCAAATACGAAACATATGAACCTCGTGGCGTGTCATGTGCTCTTAGCGGTTAAATCGAGCGTTCAAACACCGGATTAATAGATACGCGCAATTAATACCAAAACATCAAAAAAGCTATTCTAGCATTTACTTATGTCTGCGAACGAGCGTCTTAGAAATTATTACTAATCATTGCCACATAATGCCTGTTGTAACATCGATGCGACCTACCTGCACTTTTGTAACAAATATGGTACATATTGTTAGAAACTAGTATTGGAACGAAGTTCCTTATCGCGCGTTGTGAAAGGGGGCTAGACGGAAAAAATTCTTACGAAAAGTTGTCACGACACTTTTTTTATCTATTGTAATACACCGGTTCTCGTCCGATCACCGAAGTTAAGCAACGTCGGGCGTCAGTACTTGGATGGGTGACCGCCTGAGAACACCTCGTGATGTTGGCTTGTTTTTTTTTTTTTTCGTCGTAAGATTGGTGTCGAGAAAATCTATCATACTGTTATGATACCAATTAACATATAAATTAATCGAAAGGAATTTCGTTCCATCCGGGTGTCCCTTGACACCTCTAAAGTTTTTTATATATATATATATATATTATTTTCAAATAATTTCATAACACGATGTACATAACTAATTTACTCTAAATTTTCTCGCTAAGTGAATGTAATTCTTTGAGAAATAAAGTATCTTTGAACCTAATATCTTTACTAAACAATACCAGATAATTATTAAGATAAGACTATAATATAATAATAATTCGTAATCACACAACAAGCAAAAAATCTGAAAATAATAAACGGCTCAAATATAAAGTATTTCCTCCAACTTTGATTTTGTTCCCTTTGGAATTGAGACTCTTGTGCCGTGGGGTTCAAATGCACAGGCGCTAATTAAATATTAAAATTGGCGCTTGGTAGTACCGGTGACCCCAGAGCTGGTGCTTTTCTCAGCGAATAAAGATCACAATGCAGTAAGTAAATGCCAGCATAAAAGGTAAACTGCCGTTTTCAATTTGTTTTAATTTTAATTTTCTGTTTGTTATTTTTAATAAATATTGTTTTTATGTAGATTAAGAAATAAAATAAATACTGTATTTTTGTGTGTTGCAATTAAATACAAATTTGTTAGTTGTTATAATATTTATTTATACTTTATTACCTTAATCAGAAACATAAACATAACAAAAATAAAAAAAAGCAGGTTACAAAAGTTATAAGGTAACGGGCGGCCTTATCGCTAACAAGCGATTTCTTCCAGGCAACCCTAATATGGAACAATGAAAAAGAAACACCTACAGAGGGTACAGTACAAGTAATGCAAACGTTATTAACAAAAAAAACTCAAAATAACACGTTACTATAACTAAAATAAAATAAAGTAAAATCTAAAGATAAAATAACAATA